AGTTGATTTGAGTGACTTTGAACGTGGTATGATTGTTGGTGCCAGAAGGGCTGGTCTGAGTATTTCAGAAACTGCTAATCTACTGGGATTTTCACGCACAACCATCTCTAGGGTTTACAGAGAATGGTCCGAAAAAGAAAAAACATCCAGTGAGCGGCAGTTCTGTGGGCGGAAATGCCTTGTTGATGCCAGAGGTCAGAGGAGAATGGCCAGACTGGTTCGAGCTGATAGAAGGGCAACAGTGACTGAAATAACCACTCGTTACAACCGAGGTATGCAGCAAAGCATTTGTGAAGCCACAACACGCACAACCTTGAGGCGGATGGGCTACAACAGCAGAAGACTCCACCGGGTACCACTCATCTCCACTACAAATAGGAAAAAGAGGCTACAATTTGCAAGAGCTCACCAAAATTGAACAGTTGAAGACTGGAAAAATGTTGCCTGGTCTGATGAGTCTCGATTTCTGTTGAGACATTCAGATGTTAGAGTCAGAATTTGGCGTAAACAGAATGAGAACATGGAACCATCATGCCTTGTTACCACTGTGCAGGCTGGTGGTGGTGGTGTAATGGTGTGGGGGATGTTTTCCTGGCACACTTTAGGCCCCTTAGTGCCAATTGGGCATCGTTTAAATGCCACGGCCTACCTGAGCATTGTTTCTGACCATGTCCATCCCTTTATGGCCACCATGTACCCATCCTCTGATGGCTACTTCCACCATGTCACAAAGCTCTAATCATTTCAAATTGGTTTCTTGAACATGACAATGAGTTCACTGTACTAAAATGGCCTCCACAGTCACCAGATCTCAACCCAATAGAGCATCTTTGGGATGTGGTGGAACGGGAGATTCGCATCATGGATGTGCAGCCGACAAATCTGCGGCAACTGTGTGATGCCATCATGTCAATATGGACCAAACTCCCTGAGGAATGCTTCCAGCACCTTGTTGAATCTATGCCACGAAGAATTGAGGCAGTTCTGAAGGCAAAAGGGGGTCCAACCCGTTACTAGCATGGGGTACCTAATAAAGTGGCCGGTGAGTGTATAATGGCATAAATCCTTACACATAACAGTGTGGTGTGTACGTAACACAGCGTCAGTTGCATCGCGCAACAACTGTGAATACACACTGTGTAGTAATCAGAATCGCCATACAGGGCAATGAATGCTGCGGCGGGGGCTGGGCGCCAGCCACCGGGAAAGCATTGACTGCTATATGAAATGGTATAGCTCGTCCGCGGCATCATGCACGGGGACATAGATAGCCATCTTCTCGGGTTTCCCCGAGCTTCCGCTCTGCGATGCGTCTCCCGTCTATGAGGCGGGTAATAATGTTGGGGAGAGAAGCTCTTTTGCTGAGACATGTAATTTACCTTGTTATTGAAACAGAACACAGCGGTTTCAGAAACAACACATTCTCGTCGAACTCTGGGCGGGAACACGCCCTCTTCGCACCGGTCCGACGAACACGTCCCGCGCTCTTTCCTCCCTGACACGCACATCAGGAGCGCTGTTTTTTTTTTTTTTTTTTTTTGTTTAGCGACTTCCTGAACTGCCTCTCGCTTCAGCTTTACGGCCCGCGCCGAGGGCACCTTTCCGACGGCAGCTCCTTGGGCGCTGTCCACTCCAGCACCATATCTGCCTCCGCCTCAGTGAGAATGGCCATAAGCTCCGCATCCAAAGAGGCGAGGGCGCCTTCAGACGGAGACTCGGACCATTGGCGTCGTCATCGTCGTAACCGAACGAGATAATTCCCGTGCTTCCTCAAGAGGGCGGTAAATGGCCTCAAGAGTAACTCACGGGCTCTGCCACGTGAGGATGGCGTGGACCTTGGGCCGACGTCAGCGCCTCAACAGAACCCTCGAATGGAGATCTCTGCCGTCTCCCGGTCCGCGGCTCGAAGGCGGCAGACTGGGGAGAGGCAGGAGACACAAGGTCGTCGCTACGTGTAACGGCCAGCCTTGCACGAAGGATCTGATGGGAAGCTCCTCACAGGCGGGACATCCCGATCCCTCGAGTGCCGCCTCTGCGTGGTCCCGACCCAGGCACAGCACACTAGTTGTGTGCGTCCGGGGATTCAATGGGTCCACCACACGGGCGACAAAGAGACATAATATAATCCACCGGAACGCGAGAGGGGAATTAAAACTCCTTAATATACTCCGCTCTGAATGCGTACATCAACGGTGAAAACAGACTCGAGTGAAGAAAAAAGATTCTGAGGTTTTTGGCGCCCGCCGTCACCTATATTGAGCAGTAGGGCTGCAACAAACGATTATTTTGATAATCGATTAATCTAACGATTATTAGAACGATTAATCGACTAATCGTCGATTATTTCGCAGACTAATCAGTAAGTTTGGAACGATTATTCAGCTTTTCCAATTAGTTAAAACATTGAGTTATACATATTCTAACTATAATACAAAAAAAGAAAATCACTTCAGCTTTTGAAATAGTTGTTTTAATGAACTTTGAGCCAACTAAACAGGTCATTCTCTTTAAGTTTTCAGATTTCGGTCCAACTCAAATCACACACAAATGCTCTCTAAGCATTGTTTAATAGGCCCACTGCTTTTCTTAGAACTGAAACAGAAAAAGGGACATTTACTTCAGGACACAAAGAATGGTAAAATATTA